ACCACCAGGGTTTCCAAAGGGACCCATTTTAAATGGTTGCCCCATGGCTGGCTGGAGCTGGCATTGCTGATGATGTTTCACGTGAAGTTTTGGCAAATATAGGAATCTAAAACGATGTTAAATGGATAGCTTGAACAACAAGCATCTAAATCAGTGTTTGCTTAATGCAAAAGAAACCAAGCCCAAAGGGAAAGAAAGGAAACATGGATCGTGTAACTCTTCAACTCATACTCTAAAAGCCAACCCCGAAGAATAATCTTTGACTTTTAACATTCTAGGTCCTTGTAAATACAGTGCTTGAATTTTAGTTGTTTTGTTGCTTTAGAAGAGGTTGTTATTATTAATATTATTATTATAGGGACATTGGTGGCTCAGCAGTAGAATACTCCCCATCCATGTGGGAGACACAGGTTCAATTCCCGAATAATACACCTCATGGGCACCCACCACCTGTCTGTCAGTGGAGGATTGTGTGTTGCTATGATGCTGAGCAGGTTTCAGTGGAGCTTCCAGACTAAGACAGACTAGGAGGAAAGGCCTGGTGATCTACTTGCAAAAATCAGCTAGTGAGAACCATATGGAACACAATGGCTCCATCCACAACTGATTGTGGGGATGGGACAGGATCGGGCAATTTCCTTTCGTTATGGATGGGGTCACCATGAGTTGGAGGTCAGCAGGGTGGCAGGTAACAACAACAAAGCACTATTATTATTATTAATAGCAAAAGCGCCTAAGGAGAGAAAAAAGCAGGGATTCCTTTAATTGTTCTTTTTTTTTCTTTAAATTTCGCAAGGAGACAAAGAGGAATAAAAGTGTTTGGTTTTCTGTGTTATTGCTGTTTTGTAGATGACCGTTCAACAGTCCTGCTGACCGATGCTGACTTTGGAGAGGCAGCTAAACAGAAGTCACTGACGGTGACCCACACGGTCCACTACCAGTCTGTGTCCCAGGCCACGGGGCCACTGGTGGATGTTTCAGATGCTCGCCCAGGAACAAGTAAGTGGCCAGCAACACTTAGAGCCATGTGGACGCTATCAGTGCTGAAAACATGGTGGCCCTCTTTCCCTAGCAGAGAAACGTTGGGCCTTCTCAGCCCTATGCCTAAGAAACAGTTAGGTATGATAACATCTTTGGTTGGGTTCTCCAGTTCAGTCTCAGCTATTATCAAAAGTGTGTCCATTGAAGCCAACAACTCTTGGTATTGGTTTACTGCAGAAAGTACTAGAAATTTCAGCTCAAGTTAATTTTTTTTTTTTAATGTAGACAACTCACAAAGAGGGGAAGGCAATTAACATTAGTTGTATGTCTACTGTATACCAGTGTCATGTTCGAAAGGTGCTGTCGCATATGTTATCTTTGCAACCAGCGTATCAGCTACATACTCGTAAAGCGGATGTTATAGCCACTGTTTTACACACTGGAAAACTGAGCCTTAGCAGGGTCAGGTAAACAGCCCAAAGCTGTACACATAATAAGCTGTGAAACCAAGATTCGGCTCTAAATCTGTCTGCCCTCCAACTTTCTGCTTTTCTCCTGAACAAACTATTTGAGAAACATTATAGCCCTGGTTAATCGGGGTATTATGTTGGGCTTAATTATTAATATTTGCATCCATAATATATGGAAATTAATTACTTCTGTGAAATTAAATTCCATAATATGTATCTAGAACTTATTAATTAGATATTCTTATTTCTTCATAATTGAAATCGTTCCTAAATCTCTTTAAAGCCTGGGAAATTGATGTCCCGATTATCATTTTGAAAGCTTTGATGTCTGTCTTTTAAGTCTCTAATCACTCTTTGCCAAAATGTACATTCTTAGAGTAGTTTGTTATAATTAGTAAAATAAATATTATACCACTGAAAGCTATTCTTCATAAATTCCCCCCAGCGGGTGAAGCGTTTGTGAAATGCTCTGAGCTTTGTTCAGCAGCACAGGTTGGTTACTTGAATAGCATTGTAACATACAAGAAAACAGTTTATTATTGAAATTCATCTGAAAAAATTGTTCTTAAGAATATTCTAAAGGAGTCTTTCATTTCTGGATTTTTTTTCTACACCCACCCCCACTTTCCTTTTTTGATGACATTAGCACATTCTGAAGACAGGAATGGGACGTGAGTGACAATTCGATTTGCAAAGGGATATAAATGCAAGCCTTGACTCTTAAAATCTCCGAGGTCCTTAACACTCTCTCCAGCAATTGGCATTTCCATTGTGATCTGCCTGGCACGACTTCTAGCTGCTTGATACTCTGCTCTGATGGGTCTCTGAACTGAAATAGCTCTTGCACCAGGGGAAGCTTTTAGAGCCTGAAGGGACTGGACATTTAGATGGATGGATCCTTGGCTTGAGCGTTCCTCTGGCCCAGTCAGCATGGGGGTTGTTGGGACAGGGACAGAGAGGGGAGTAGAGGCAGAGAACACAGGACAGATGCCCCCAGCAGTGGTCCCCAACCATGTGTGTGCATCAGAATCACCTAGGGTGGCTGTTTAAGATACAGATTCTAGAGCTCCATCTCTGGACTTTCTGATACACTTGGTTCAGGGTAGGCAGGAATCTGCATTGTAACAAACATCCTAGATGATTCTGTTGCTGGTGTCTCTGCACCCCTCACTGAGAAATGCCTCCTGAAATGGTTCAACTTCAGAAAAACGCAGGAGAAAGTGTTCGTCGTCACCCCTGCCCCTGGAGCATGGTGGTACGTTACCCTTCATACTTGTCATATCCACAGCTCAATGTTGGTTCTTTTTCCCAGATGGAGAAAGCAACATGCATTTACACTTCCCTTGCAATGTTCAATTAGCAGAGAGATGGACCAAGGCTAGTGGTAAATAGTTAAGATGGGAGAGGAGGCCAGGAAACTGAAGTACAGAGAACCTCCCAACTGTGCGATCAGCCTCAGAACAAGGAGGGCGTGGATTTGATGGCGTTTAAAATCTCAACAGAGACGTGAATCTGAATCAAAAACAGAAATGTAGACCAGGGAAAGGGGCATGGCAGGCAGGACACAGATGGGAGGGACATAGATCCCATGGCTGTAACATTGCAAGCATGCTTGGGGGACTTTGAGAATCCGAACATTCAACATTCAACAATATTCATTTAGGATTTACTTCATCTACAGCCAGTACTCAGCAATGGGGTGCATTGTGAGTAAGATAGCAAAAAGACATTCATTTCATCCTAGTGGGGGAGTCAGTGTGGCAATAGACAAAGACCACCCAAATGAGAACAAATACAGGCTACTTATTCAGAGCTTGCTGTAACAAGGGAGTCAGTCACCATCACATGTGTTTGGCAGAGATTCAAAGGCAGGCAGGCAGGCGAGGGGGAAGGCTTCATAGTGGAAAATCAGGAAGGCTTCAGGTGTGCCTGGACGGGGGCTGCTGGTACGGGAAAGCAGGAGGTGGGCTAACTAGAAGCAAGGCATGCTATGTGATTGGTTAAGGGAACATATTTGGCTTTTTCTGGTTCATCCTAAATTGGAAGCAGGGACAAAAATTAAGGAAACTGTCAGTGATTAATCAAGGCCATGGATATTTGGGTTCCATTGTTATGGGTATTGTCATTTGACTTCCTGAACTGACAGCTGCAGACTGTGGTTTGACTTCCTGGCTGGCTGGTTGCTGTAGGTTGCGGGTCAGAGCTCTATTTTTATATATGGTCTGGCCACTGCCCACTTGTATATTCACCCTCTCATCAGGAAATAAACAAGTAAATAAATCATTTTCCATTGCTCAATAAGTACTAAGAAAAAAATAAAACAGAAAGATGTGATGGAGAGTCACTGGGGGAGTGGAGGCAGTGGGAAGCAAGGGGCTCCCTTACATCTAGGTCGTTGGGAAGACCTCCATTGAGGGTAAGGCATGAACCAAGATCAAATGACAGCAAAGAACTGCCCGCCGGGCAGAGGGAGCAGCAAAGGTCAAGCTCCCAAGACTTCCTGGCATGCTGGGGGACAGGAGTGGCCCTGGAATACAGTGAGCAGCAGGGAAATGGTAAGATATGAGCCAGGAAGAATAGCCTGACCTTGTAGGGCCTTGTAGACCAAGGTCACGTGTGTGCGCTCCATTCTGGGAGCACCGGGATGCTATCCCAAGGGCTTAGCATTATGATCATACCACAATGAAGCAATGGCAGCTTACAGAACAATGTTTCTCTCGTTTGTGATGAACTTCATTCACTAATGTTTATCCACGTTAGGCAAATCTACTCTAATGTATGCATCAGTCTCTGTTCAAAAAAAAAATTAGAGTATTCATTTAGCATCTGCAGAACACCTTGTATTAATTAGAGATCTTTGGGTAGTTTTTGTCATTAAATATTCCCCAAGATCACAGTCTGAGAGACTGAGCTCATTCCATTCTTGATACAGAATTGGAAATGTTCCACATGAGTGAGTCTGAAACCATGCACTTTCTCAAGCCCAGCTCCCTGCTTGCTTCTTCTACCTCAGGGCTGGTCGCCTCCGCCAGGTGCTATCCCTGTGTCAGCCCAATTCCGTGGGACGCTTTCTTCTCTTTTCTCACTACAGCTTGGCATATTTTCATAGATTCATTTATATCCTCGATTTCCTCACCTAAGAAAGATGTTATTCTAATTGTGTTAGGACCGTGTGCCATGAGAGAAATTCTTTATTGTGAGGACAGCATCTGAAATACGTTGTTGGCATGCTAGAATGACTGGAGTATAGAAGTTATGTTTCTAGGTATTGTATTAGTCCTCCCTAGAGCCGCAATAAATTCTTAGTATGAAGACAGGATAAAATGCGACAATATGCTATTTATTTCTTTCGACATGTGAAAACATCACTTGACTGTGTTTGCTACTCTGTTTACTTCTCTGTCTCTCCTTTGGGGTTCTGATACACTCTTAAGCTGGGACTCTGTTCATGTCCTTGTTCTCAGCACCAGCCACAGCCTGACACGCCATAGGCATTCAGTAAATCTACTTAAAATACTGATCGACTATCAAATTCCGAAGTCAGAATAATGGGGATGGAAAAGACAGTATGTTTAGTTGCTTAAACAGGGCTTGAGCGATCAGTTTAATTTTCTACTCTTTGTTCTACATCACCTCAGGCATCTAATCAGTTAGGTGTATGAGTGTCCTCACCTAGTTAGAAGAATCTGTCTTAATATGCACATTGTCTTGCCTCAACTCACTTTGCAGATATTTATCGAAGAGGTCATTCCCAATGAGAACTTAAATCAATCAACTTTTTTACTTTCAAAATGTGGAAAGATATGTGTGAAGTGAGAAGTATTAACCTTGACCTGTTATTTGTTGTTGTTATATTTACCTGGCAGTTATCCATTCATTCCTTCATTCATTCATGAAAAGAGCATTTGCCAAGCACTGGACTGGGAAATGAATAGGACACAGCTCCTGCCCATACTACCTCAAGTACTCAGCTTTTTTCTGCAGCACATGAGTTCTCCAGCATCTAGTTTTATGATTTTCCATGGGTATTTTTCTGTTAAATCCTCTAAATTGAGTGTCTAGCTTTCCAGATCCTTTCACCAAATCACCTGGCCTAGATCTTCCCAATAAACCCAGGCTGTGCTCCTTCCTTTGCAGAATGTGTATCACCCTCGAGCCGTGGGCAAGGTCCCATGGTTGAGCCCTCCCCATGTGCTCACATGCTCTAGCTCAAGAGTATCCCCTGAGCACCTAAATCTCACAAGAGCTCTGAAGGTGGGTAGTGATATCATCCCAGCCTCAGAGATGAGGAAAATGGGCCCATCAGCTTTGGTCACTTGGCCAGGGTTACCCAGCCAGTGAGTAGTGAAACTGGACTTCAATGCTGGCAGCCTTTCCAAAGCAGTGCTCTCAACCACTCCCTATTGCCTTTAAGTAGCAGCAATGCTACTTAAAGGGAAAGTAAAGACTACAGAATGGACTTTAAGTATTTATTAAATAAGGAAAGCTTACAACATGGATTCAATCTTTACTGTTGAGATTTTGGAAAAATACCCACTTAGTACTCAG